AATCTAGTACAGACTCTTCGTTATCTCCAATTGTTTATTCTACTGAATCGTGCTCTCTCATATACCCTCACACCCCCGGACTTTTGATCCAATCCCTCCTGGGATTGAGCGTAAAATGGGAATCATTCGGACACTTCTTGGAAAACTTCAATCCATCGGGGCCGAGATTCTCGAAGGGGGACCCCACTCGGACTGTAGTGTAAGGTCATTCCGACCTCCGATTTTCTTGACGTCCTACACCAGCACTCAATTTCTACGGTGCCAGACTGAGCGACTCGCAGCTTTGAGCAGTGCCTCGTCTCGGACAGAGACGGGATCCTTGAAGTATGAAGTTCTCCAACAACTCTCCATGAATGAATCTGCGCGACTCACAGATCTGTAGGCATAGATCCGGACGGTGGCCTAGCCATTCTCCAAATCGACTGCGCCAGTAAAGACTCTTCGTTATCTCCAATTGTTTATTCTACTGAATCGGGCTCTCTTATATACCCTCACAAATCTCACGAGGAACAACGGCGGGCTTGCTTCTACCAAAAGCAAAGACTACCTTCTCGCCATCACCTTCTCTGAGCAAGCGCTTGTCTTCCTCCGGTCTCTCTTCTTCGTTCGCATTCGACGATGCCTTGAGTCGATCTATTTGTTCCTGGATTGACTTATTCTGCCTCTCCTCGTCATCGAGGTCCATCTTCCTCTTTTTGACCTACGCTCATCAGCGAGAATGGCCTCCGAGCTCCGATCAATGTATGTCACGAACCATCCCTTCTCGGTCTCATCGACAGCGCATATACCTGAAAAGTTCAGGAAAACGTTCGGAATTCTCTGAACAGGGAAGTTTGACCGGCATAGTGCTATCGAACCTGAATACATGCTCAGGCTTAGATAATATGTCACTGACCTTCTTTGCCAAGCCACTTGACGAAAGTTGTCAAAGTAAGCCACTTGGTAGAGTTCATGTGCACGTGCTCTTTGAATCGAATGTATTCCTGATAGATCTGACCCGAGTGTACTCGTTTCCCACCGTATTGACGTTTCAAGATATCCAGAAAGCCTTCCTTGAACTCTCTGTAAATAAGGTCAAAAGTTCAGTCAGCCTTAGAGCAGCTCCTAATTGAGGCGAGCGAGTCATGTCTAGGTACATAATATATGTTCAGGTAGGTAGTACCTACTCTGAGAAGGAGTCCAAGTATTTATCCGGGTTCTCCGCAAAGAGCAGCAATTGACGCTGGTGTGATTCGGATGTAGTGTGACACTTGAAGCCGTTCTGTGGGAGAAACACACAGGATGAGGAGTTTCGAACGATCCGTAATTATTCCAAAAGAGGATTTCATTCGGGGGAACTTAGCGCGAATTCGAACTCACCTCGTCTCGACATTGCTTTTGGCACATCTGACAGTACCATCGGAGCTTCTGGAGACCTTTGGACTTGATCTTGTTGGCTATCGCCTTCGGAGTACCGGCTTCTGCTTTACGCATCTTGCGATGAGCACGCAGACGAGGGCAGAGATCTTGCGATCTTCAAGCCAGCTTTTTCAACAACCTGCCTCCGCGCAAGCGTTCAAATACCTTGTTGTCGATGATCTTTGCTGGCCCTCTGGTTGACATGGGGCGGTCTCCATAGCAAAGGTCGACTCGCTCTCTCAGCTCAGCACGATAGCTTTCATGAGTTCGGAGGCAACGAGCAGAACGTGAACTACTTCGAGAAGAGTTTACGTCAGGGATTGGGGGTGTAGATCGCCGCGGTCAGCAATTCAATCGATATCAGACAGCGAGTTGCCGACAGCATGCCGCTCTCAATGTGTGTCTTCTCCTGGACCGCGGATCCATGGAGCTGGCCGAACGATTCGCGATGGAACCCGTCCATTTTGCGGTCCTCTGGAACCTTCTTGGTCTAAAAGAAGATTCTCGCGTAGCTTTCAGCTTGTCCTGGATTGTGAAAGTCCTCCTCGACAACCAGGATAGCCTTGGCCTTGCGACGGAGAGTACTGTGGACCGTCTTCGTGACTCCACGATACGTACTCTAACGAGAGCCGTCCACAATGGAGTCTATGCAACCGATTCCTTGGATTCATTCACGTTCTGTTCCGCGAAAAAAACGAGACGGCACCTCGCTAGAAACTATGGGCGAAGAATAAATGCTTCGGGTGGTCCTCGTAAATTCATACCGACTATCTATGATCTAATATCTGGGGGGAATGGCACCCTCTAGAATCGCTTGATTCTCTAGATTCACGATGATATTGATTGTATCGGTTCCCGGACTGGAACGAGGACCGAGTCGAACCCAAATCAAAAACCTCATCTCCTGCGGGAAAGGTGCCTATACGGATGGAGATCTCCGGCAGGGTATTAAAGATACTTTCCTCCCACTTGCAACAGAGATCGGCGTAATGATCCACGGCGCGGGTCCACTCCTTCCCATCGACTGAGGTCCCAATGCGGTATGAATTTTTTCCCAAGTCTTCACTGTGTGTCTGCATCTGCAGCTTGTTCACATCGAATAGCTGCGCTCAGTGAATAATTGTGGCGCCTGCAAGATCATCGGTGGAGCTTCCACCGATTATTCCATCCCACCTCCTAATACGATGGCTGCGCGTTCCGCTCCCTCTGACGGAACATCATTACTCATCACCGAGCATGAGAAATCCTCGATAGAATTCCATTTCTGCAGGACTGTGGGACACTTCAGAGATCGGGAGGAAAACATCGTCAGCGCTCCCACCGCGGACCTTCGAAAACGCTCTCGGTACTACGCATCGGACGACACGAGCTTCAAACCAAATGTTCAGGGGAGATCGACACATGTGCTTCAAATGGTCGATCATCCTGTCCCCTCCCATCATTCTCGTGGGCCAAGCTGGAACTGTGCTCAATTGGGATTCCGTTCCTGAGGATTAGGGGGTCAGCAGAGGGTCTCGACCTCGAGCGCTCAAGGGTCGGGCGAGGAAAACCCCGCGGTTCATATAACGCCGTCCCGCAGATGCGGGCCTTTGGAGCCGGTCACGAGAAATTCAAGAAGTTTGGGATGACATCATCAAAGATTGATACCGCGTTTTTCAAAAATACAAGGAGCTCAACTTTATTTCACAAAGACGTACCACGCCTCCGCATCAACGAGACCGGCGGAATCATGTGCTTCTCTGAATTTTCGGCTCGACGTCGATTTCAACTTGTTTCTTCTTCGGTTTCTCGGCGGGCGCTTCTTTTTTCACTTCGCACTCCTTCTTGTCGTCAGTGTCTTCCTCGGCTCCCTCCTATAAGAGAGAGGTCACTCTTTGACTGCAAGAATCATATGCGACGTGTGCGGGAAGAGCTCTCCCCAGACGTTTATTCGAAAAACGGAGACCAATTCCGCGGCCTGACTCCCGAGAGAAGTTTCTCACCTTGACCTCATCGGTGTTCCCTCCCTCAGCATCCTCCTCTTTTTTTTCTTTTTGAATCGGAAGAGTCGGAGTAATTTCCGTAATTTTCGTTTCGCCGTCATGTCCTGGCCGTCTTCCAACAGTGAATCCCAAGAACCTCGTTTTCGTCTTTCTTCTTCGAGTTCAAATGTTTCCCGGACTTTCTCCAATGCTGAAATGAGAGCGGGACCTTCCGTGAACCGGCCATTCTAGGTTAAGAGGGAGAAGACCTGCCCGCGCTACCTCATCCCTGACATGAGCCTTCCATAACAAGTTTCTCATATTGAGGCGTTTCAGTGAGAGTATTCGGTCAAGGAATCAAAGCATCCGATCTAGCGTACATTTCAGGAAGGAAAGATCCTCTGTGGGGAGCTTGTTCAGTTGCTTCCGAAACTGGGCTGTGAGATCCCGGCGCAGGCAATCTGCTTCGATTTCCTGTTTGGTTCGTGGAACTCGGCACTTCATGAAGCAGCACATGACTACAACTGGAAGGCATTGAGAGGTTCAGACGCCTGACTCGGCGGTCTAGAATCGACGATCTGACCCGTGTGGTGCCGAACTACGCTTTGAGTAGCTCGGGACGGGCATAATAATTCGGAGTTATTCTTCATTCGGGACGCTGCCCGAAACCATCTTATTCGTAGGTATTTCCCCTCTGATAACCCTGACGGGTGAACGAAGAGAGCTGTGAATCTATGTCGGAGAGAGTTGTATCCCAATTAGGTAAAGTGCTCTGCTTACTTATCACAGTTGCGCCCGCCCCGCTCATGAAGATCAGTTGCCACACCCGGAATCCAGCGATGACTCCCTTCTCTAACCAATCGTTCCCTATATCTGGGACTACGGGCCCGCATTCCTGGAAGAGGAAAAGTTTATTCGATGCTCATCAAATTATTGTAGTGGAATCACTCATTCCCATGCCGATTTTGTCGATGCAGATTCGGACAGGCAGGCCTCCCTGCCGCGAATCCTGCGCAGCTGAGCTCCGTCCGGAGCAGAAGCTGCATAGATCATATTCGCCAGAATGAGAGCGGAGGGTTCTAGAATCATCGAGCGGTGGAGGTACGAAGAAATCGTAGAGGTATGCGGCGGCCTTCTCAGCGCGAAGGGTCCCATTACTCCCCCAAGTTAAGCACCTCCAGCAGTCGCGAATTCGAACCCCGGTCCGCCAGAACTTTCCATACCTAGTGCCTATGATTTTCGCGGATTCTTAGAACACAACAGAGTACGATGCGTTCCGCGTCGAGATCAGAAGCTGTACTGACCGAGCTGACGACTTCCCTGAGCCTACACAAGTAGGGTGAACAGCGATAAACACAACTGGGTAGCAGGCAGAATGTATATGCTCATGATGACCGTGAAAAAGGAACTCAACAGAGGAATTCCTGAGTCTCGAAGATGGGGGAGTGATATTCCCCAGGGTCTTCCCTCGAAGGCCGAGCGTATAGTTCCATATGCGTATCGGCTCGAACTTACACATTCTACGGGGACGTATACGGTGTTGTGAGCCCTGCCGAAACGCTCAATCGAACAACAATGTTCGTGGAAAAAGCTTTCATTCTCGCGTTCCGATGGAGCAAAAATTTCGCAGGGCTTGGAAATTTCGAGAACTCACCATTTCTACTCCTCGTATCGAGGCTGTAGGTCCCGAAGATACTTCACCGGTGGGAGATCCGCGATGGAGCTCTTATCTCAAAATAACCGTGAACGAGGGAAACAAAATATTCATCGGGGACAGAGCTCCAGCAGACACCCCTCACAAAGCGTTCGAAAGATGCCGGAGCTCCCATGTGTCTGAGATCCCTCTCGGAAACGGCTCGTGACCGAGCTCTTTCCCTTTTCCTGCTGACGGCAGCGCCATCGAGGCCCCGCTCATTTCTCCCCTGATCGGCCCCGGGGATCTACCTTGGAGTAACCCCTTCGGCGGATTAGCAAACCTCCCACCGAATCCAAGAAACTCGATGCAAACTACGGAAATGCGAACGCCTCGAGAAATAGAATCAGTCCGAGGCTCCGAGTCGAAGGTTGGCGGAAATCTGAGGTACCAGGCCGGACGTGGGTCTCAGCAGTCTCAGGGTGTGGCAAACTCACCCTGTTTGCCCACAGGTCAGGCCCCTTCGCGCCGACTCCCGAAATCTGTTTCGACGGGACAGACTGCTTCCGCATGCTGCGAGAGACGCTTTGATCGACTCATTCGCTGAGTTGGACAAGGTGATTCCACGATGGAAGGGACTCAGGGAAATGACTGGCGTGGAAAATGACATACATATGTATCGCGCGTAAACGCATGGACGACTTCCAGCGGGAGCGATGTGGAGTAACCAGACGACAAGGTATCCTAATCACCGCCTGAACCGAGCAGATGAGACGGTGATAAAGAGCCTGTCTCGCTCTGGTTGCCAGAAATGCTCTCAGCCTGATCCATGCGCAAACTGTACTCTTGCGCCCGATCAGACAACTCATTGTATGGCACGGTGAATTGCCGAAATTCGCCTAAATCGCAGAAAGGAGTTCTACAAGCAGCTTGGAGAGGAGAATTGGCATTAACGGGAGGAATTTGGCTTGTCATTATCGAATATCAGCTCAACGACTGATCGTGCTCACGTTTGCCAGTCAGCTAACCCGAATTTCTCCTAGTGTCGCACGTACCGTGATGCGACGCTGTCCTACGCTTCGAACTCCTCGGCATCATTTGTATCGGGATCCCGCTCTTGATAAGTTCTCGCTGCTGTTTATTCCGTTCACGTGAATTCCATCTCAGAAATCTCAGGTACGCAGAGGAGCTTGGGATCACCCTCGCATCGACAATCTGAGTGCTCGGGATTTTGAGAGAAGATTCCGTCTCCAGGCCCCGGAGAAGCGCCCGACCTCATCCCATTCCTCGAACCGCTATGACAGTACGGAGAACGAAATCCGTCAAGACCGGGTACAAGGCTGGTTCCCCAAATCACCAATAATCCATTGATGCCTCAGAATTCTGAACGAGTTCAGGCGGAAGGGGTCGAGACTGATTAACGGGAATTCTTCTTTACAGGATGGTAAGGAAATTGTGACCACCATATCAGTGGTCGTCACGGATGACGACCGATCTGGCGATGCAGCTCCGAGAGCAGAGATTCGGGTTCGTAGCTTTGGCTTCCATTTGAGAGACGAGATGATTGGATAGCCTCTACTTCGGACGAGTTCCACGATTTTCAGACTGAAAGTCTGCCATCAGAAATGGAAAGGCTGGTTGAAAGTACTTGAACGTCACAATTGCTACCGCGCGAAGCACGGAATCGCACCCTTTCTATGGATCCCAGAGGTGGGAGCCGATTATCAGGTAAAATGAAACCTGAGTGATGGGACCAGCCGCGGTACACCAGAGAAGCGGTCCGATTACTAAGGCGGTCCCATCGAGCAGGTCGGTCCCTCCAGTGTGTGGTCTTATTTCTCAGGTTCACCTCAGGTGGACCCATTAGATGGTAGTCGTTTTAGGCAGGTTTCACAGTATCGATATCGAACCGCCTATTCAGCGTGAATTTGCCCCGGAGATTTATTCTTCAATTGACCGTCCGCTTTCTGAAGCTTTCTTGAATTTCAAAGGATCGCAAACGTCAAGATCCGAGGTAACCGTGTGAGTACCTCAGCGAAGTCTTTGTGAGATGAAATTGTGAGCATGACTTTTTTCTTCGGATTATCACCGCGTTTTCAACAACTCATTGGATTTTGAAGACTTACTATACCTAGCTGAGACCAATGAGAGTTATCAAGTCACTGACAAAGCTTCATCACAGCTGAAGCGGGACGCGTGACGCCTCCCACTGAATCGGATTATTGTCGCCGGATTTCACTTTTCGCCAGCCAACCGTTCCGGACTTCGGCCCAAGCTGAATGGGGATCCCGCAGGTTCCGGAAGTGATGAAAATCGGCATCGCATGCAGAGAATCGCATACCCTTTTTGAGCGTGCCAGGAAGCCTCAATATCGTCGCAATCTTATTCCCGTAACGGTGGAACCCGATAAGTGATTGAATCGACTTCTGCCCGGCGAACTCGTCCATGAGTCGTAGCATGTTTGAGCCCGCTCACCGAGCAGCGTATCCGGTGTGGGAAGTAGCCTGCGGGATTCTGCAGAGGGAATCCCTACTTGACCTGTGCGAATGCCAGCGCCAGCTCGCTTTGCCGACCATGAGCGCGGAACGCTGGGGGGTTCTGGAGGCCCGGAAGATTCGGGTGTTGAGCCCGTATTATATCTATGCTCAGAGCGACTCGTTCTTCAGCTCCCGGGTAGGAATCTTTATTCAGGTTCGCCGAATACCAGTGGCGCCTTGAACAATGGAACGCCAGGTATCAATCCTGAATCGATGAACTCCTGGGCACAATACGCGCGACACCATGATCCTTGCATTTACTGCTCTGGACCTGCGCAAGACTTCACAAGGGGGGACGCTCCGCACTCATCCATGCATCAGGACTTAATCATCAACTCTCGGAATTACAGAAGCAACGATCCGTGCAGAAAATTTTTGCGTGCTCTCAGGAGTGGATGGAGTTCGGGAAACACTTCATTTGCAGAATCAATTATCACGACCAACAATAAATACGATAACGCGTGCTGTTGAGAGCTCCGTAGGCTCCGATAAGATCAGCGCGGGGGCTCGCAAGGAGGAAGCGAGCAAAGTCGTCTTCAGGAAATAAGAGAAGGGCGGAATCACCCGTTTGGCGATGATTTGCAGAGATCAACATTCCCTATGTCTTTAACGCTACGAGGCTCTCGGGTTCGGGCAGGGTTGGGGTCGCCTGTGATGAACTAGAATCGTAACCCTGATCGAGCGATTTAGCGGCTTGTGTTCTCTCCTTGGCTGGCAGTTTATTCGCCGGAGCCGATGGCGGCGTCTTCGTCGAACTGAATTGAGTGAAAGCTTTGTCAAGGAGCGTCATTGCCTGCACCAGTTGATCATTCGATAACGGCAGTCCTGGAATCATCTCGGCGAGATGACGACCCGCGGGATATAGCCCAGCGGAGCCGCCCCATCCCGGGCTCCCACCGCTGAATGATGTCGTCCCCAGAACGAGGAGAGCCGCGAAGGGGATGATGAAGGCGAAAAAACCTGGAAATTCGATTCATTCAATGGGTAAATTCAAATGACCAAGATATGGGAGTTGGCGGAGTCGTTTCGATTTCGGAGCGAAGGCACACCGTCTCGAATTGGTTCTCGTTCTGAGACCGACAAATCTTGGTCAGGATGCCCCTACGTCTAGCTCCGCAGAAGACAAAAGCTCACCAATGCAGAGGAGCACGGGCAAGAAGATCGCGATGCCCCCGCCTCCAAATCTAGCGACTCTGGTAAAGACATCATTCGCACTCCGGAGCATGTCCAGGGTCTGAGCGACTGGGACCCGCTGGTTCTGGAAAAAGGTTTCACGATTCCAGGTTCACGAATCCCCATGGCCACACGGGCTCACATTTTTACCACTTTAGTTCCTCTCGGTATAGGGACCTGCAAACCTACCTGGGCAGCTGATACTGCAGTCAGATAAGCGATGAGGAGAACAGCGCGGAACATCCTGAAGCAACGAGAACGATCAAGCACGCTTCTACACGACTTATCACTCGGGATACCCACTGCGAAGTGCAACGAAGGGAGCAGAATGAATTTATAAAGAGTCGCGGCGTTTACAGCCACACCCTCCTGGACCGGAAGGTTCCGCGACGGCACCGGAGAGGTCCACGGTGCCTGTGAACGAGTCCTGATATAATTTCAATAGAATCCCCTGGTTGCGCAATTTTACCGAGCTGATTGTTATGCCAGCTTTGACAAATAATGAACTTCGTGGAGCGTCGGTTGTCCGGTCAAGACGTGATCCTAGGTTTAAGCAATATAACGGGTGAAATTAGTCTCATCTCAGATAACGCGTAGGATTCGCATGACTCATGAATGGTGAATACTCATAGCACTGCGCGAGATTCGTGCGCCACTTTAATATAGGGTGTCGATCAATCAGAGGTTCCGCGAAGGGGCTAAGGGTTTCCAGGTGATAGAAATTCGCGCTTCGACGGAAACTTCTTTAGACCCTTAACGCACCGCATGGCGCAGCGAAATCATGACGCTCTTGAAAAGACTCTTCTCGCTCGCTTTGCGATCCGCATCAGAATCTGCCATCGCTTTTTCTCGCTGCTAACAGAAAAGGCGGCTGAGACTTCATGTAGTCTAGTTTCCGCGTCGATCGCATTCAACTTAAAAGAAATTTCTATGGAGCCCCGACGAGAAGTAGTTTGCGTCAGGAGGCGATCGGAGTAATTCGGTTCCCAACGGCCAGCGAACTTCGCCCTTCCGGCTCTAGTTACTGAACTTCGGATAAATAATTCGTATATGGCTCGCCCTCATGTGGATACGAACGTTGATGAGTAAACGGATGCAAGCTCTCATCTGGCGACGTTGCTCCACTCCTCGTCTCCGGATGCCTGGCTGAAGTGACTGAGAGAAGAATCTTCTTCAATGGGGAGCTCTAGAGAATACATTCCACTAGCTACTCCGACAATTCACCCTCCTTGACTCAGAGGAGTCAGCCCCGCAGTCTAGCGCCTACTGACCGGCGTTCACCTGGGGCTTCCTGCCTGATCCCGAAAGTCGAAGTCGCGAGTATCCCAACCTGAAGGCATGCCGTTCGAGAAATGACCGAGTGAGATTGAGATGCTTCCAACCTTCGTTCTGGGAAGTTTCCGATTCTGCACGGAATGAGTTTTGTGAGTACTTCGACGCCGGCCCCGAGCTTCATCGTCAAGACGATTCCCGAGTCTGATCGCTTTCGTGGAGGATTGTGTTTCCCTGAAAATAAGTACGGGTCAACCCTCCGACCCTCAAGAAAGACTTCCGGGCTTTCAGGGGGTGAGGGGGTTATTATAACTTACTGGACACAACCCGGTCTACGAGAAAAGGGCTCAATTATCTTTTCTTGAAAATCACCAAGTCACCCCTCTGCAAAATCTTGCGCTCCGAACACCTCGCGTATTTTCGGTCCGAGTTGGTCATGTTTGCCGCTTTAGGTGATCTCGAATCCATGAGTTCCATCGAGATAACCTGACCTCTTCGATATTGCGGCCGAGGCCCTCAAAGTTCGTTCGCCAGCGGCACACCATACGAATATCGAGCTTCCTTTCCCTGCAGAACTGAGCCTTTCCACCGCGGCATTCTCCCACACAATGCTCCGCTTATAATCGAGACTGTAACTTTTCCGTTTCATGCTCGTCCCCACACAATGTAACCGGAGTCGGAACGCCGTTTGTTCCGAAGACTCACGAATAGTCCGAAACGACGGCGACAGTGGATCATTCCGTGAAACACTTCTCTACGCGCATCTGCGTCTTGCTATAATTCGCGACGTGTCTCATGACAAGGCTTCCTACGCGGTGCGCGATCAGGAGAATGAGTACTTTGGCTTTGGGGAGAAATTCGAGTGAGCTCTGTATCGAGCATATTCCTACCCAATTAGGGTCTGTTTTCGGAGGATGGCTTATTCTAACGCCTAGTCCGGAAATCTAGACAGGGCATACTTTCCGGGGAGGCCTCATTTTCGGGGAAACACGGTAGTAGCGGGAGCGCCCGGACGGACCTCAGCGGATACCTCGGTCTTCGCCAGTGCGGCAGCGGCGCCCAGGACTGAAGCGGGCCGGAAGACGTTTGGTCGTCGTGGTGTTTCTCAAAAAGGGATATCAGTTTTCCGCACGGGATGCCCGACCGTGAGACATTGACCAGTGCCCGGAAACCGGAGAATTCCAGGGATTGCCTCGAGTCCACCTTCTCAATTAGCAGCTTTTATGTGCATCTATCGAAATTTTTCTGTAGGTCTAAGACCCGTAGTCTCATAACCGCGGGGCGCCTCTCTCCCATTGGCGTGTACGTTCACTTGCCCTAGGAGTCGGAGGTTCGATTGGGGACCCGACAAAGCACAGTCCTTATTCGTATTTCATGAAGCGTGTGGATACCGTTGTACTTCTTCACAGTTCGTCAAGTTGAGCTCCGAATCCTCAGACTTTCGAGCCTGCCAGCCTCCAATCGCTTACCCTTCCCACGAATCCAAAACCCATCGAGAGTATTGATGGCTCTGAGGACGAGGTGGGTCTTCTTAGACAATCCCGAAAGAACGAGAAAAGCGTCAGATCATCGAAGAGAACGTTGAGCTTGAATATAATCCGATTTTAAAAACCCCTTGGAGAACTCTAGGGAGAAAAAAGCATGCGGGATGCTCGGTTGCTTGCGCTTGCCGCGATATGAGGTTTTCGAGCGAGATGTGAGTGCGGATGAGGCGGATCGATAGAGCGGGTGATCATCCGGGCGCAATCGTCTCCCCGCATAAGGGAACATTTATGCCGCTGCTCTATGGTCCATCTTGAGCGCGGGAGGAGCCTCCTCGGAAGGCACCTTCCGCGCTGATTCCTAGCGAGCTGTTCCACGCAGGGAAGGAACTGACTCTGATTCGATCGGAAGGACGTCGAGCTATGACTCCCGCGATTTTTGAAGGTTCCGAAAGCTCCGTTGAGGGCAAGACGTCCTCGGAGATGAATGATCCGGTGGAGATCTTTTCCCGCTGGCTTTGCGGAATCACGGCGAGCGTCAAACTCGAACTCCGCCCGTTCTTCATCGCTAATCTGAGCCATTGATATGAGATAAGAGCTCTCATTAGCGCTGAAGGTACCATTCAAATACTGTTCGAACATCCCGTGAGCCGATCCACGATTTGCGTGGTTGCAAGCTGGAGTCCGTCTCGTGACTCAGAGCTGAAATCCGGGAGGCAAGTCTGCTGCTTCAGAAAACCGACGTCAAGACTCGCATGAGCCCCCGCTCAGATCAGCGTATCAAGGTCGCTACATGCGATCATCGAATTTACAATATTTTCGTCTATGTATCTTGGCTGTGTGTAATGACGGTTACTTTTACGGGCCGTTGGCGCTCTTTACGAAATCGATGGAGCGAAGGGTCCCGCGATGGAATCGTGACCGAGAGTCCAATTTGACATCCAAACCCCAAGCGGGAGGCGATTCGCTTAATCATTCGGTTAATCTTGTGCGCTGTTGTACTCGCCGAAGGCATCACAGCTTTCATCTTCGGAAGATCAGCTCCGTTCCCGAGTATGATCTCAGCGTGTCGCATTGCGCAACGGGAGACACCCAAGCAAATTACGTCAGGTCTTGTTCACAAGCACTCAAGCTTCTCTGGTATCATCGTGGACCCTTCCGGTCCTTCAGGGCGTGGCTTGGGTCTGGGAACTGTTTAAAAGCCTAACGGGAGCCCCTAGCATGCACAGTGTCGTGAATGTCTCAAACGTGGTCACGTTCTTGTGAGTCCAAGCGTTGTCAGTCGTAACCGTCACGATGCTGAGGATTGCGCTCGTTGCTGTGGTGATCTCGGTGGTCTCCGCTGGACAGGTACTCGATGCTAGCGAGATTTCGAGTTCCGATGCCGCTCATTGGGGCTATGGGCCGCGGATTACCGATACAGTCGTTGTGGACGATCTCCGATTGCGTGTTTTCCGAGAGTTGCCGCTGGATTTTTGATAATGAAAATTCGATCTCGGTACTTCCGGTGACCATTGCCCAGAATGGAGAGTGGTCTGACGGGAGTAGACGCACGGAAGCGAATCTGACCACGAACCTTCCCGATTTCAGTCGCAAAGTACTCCGATAACGCAGACGTTCGAAATGCTGAAAAGCGCCGACGAAGCTGTGGGTCGGGTCGCTAGACTCGGAGGCTTTGGAGGTGGACTTGCCATTCTGCTGCCCGTCTTCTTGTGCATAGGTGAGTTCGGAAGTCGGAGGGCCCCGATTCCGGGGTACTTCCTCGTTTTGTTCATTCTCACTGCGTTCAAAGTAACCGAGTGGTACGCGGAGCTGCCCGGAGCTCCTTCATGCGTTTCTAAGCTCCCGGTCGACATGTTCCTCATGAGCGCTTCCGATTGTGCAGGGTTCTTCGCTTTCATCATCCCATTCTTCGCCATCTTGTTCTTGGGAGCCGGAACCTTCGGTGGAGGAGGTCAAGGCTGGGGTGGAGCCGCGGGGCTCTATCCGGCAGGGAGGAAGTTAGCTGAAATGATTCCCGGTCTACCTCTGACCAATGAGCAGCTAGTCCAAGCCATGACGTTCCTCGACGCGGCCTTCACGGAATTCGGTACGAAAATTGCTCCGACCGGGCCTCCGAAGCCGTCGCTGATGAAGAAGAAGGCGCCCTCAGCGAAGTCTCTCGACCACGGCGTGCCTTCGATGACGACGACGACGACCTCGAGCCCACGAGCCGAAGGTAGAATGGAGGAGAAGTAGGAAGGCTATCGTGAGCTCAGCTGAGGACTTGTTTTTTCGTCGTATTGTACGGATCTGTGACCACACTCTTCGGGAATCTTGTCAGGTGCTGTATAGTGTTGTCAACGACCTTGATCAACGCCCGTCATTGTCGGCGTCTCATGATAAATTATTAAGTATCCAATCCGAGCCCAGCAGTGTCGTTGAACTTTCTGAGATAGTTCTCGAAGTGCTCTCGTGAAAGTGTTCACTCCTGGAGGATTCTCACTGCCGGTCTCAGTCAGAAAGTCCTCCCTAAGTTTCCGCGTTTTGTATTGTGTGCGTGTACCCATGTCTCTCCGCCCCGGTTTCTTTCCCGGATATAGACTGCGACATCCTTCGCCCGCTCGATCAACCACCGATCGACTCGAGGATAAGTCAGACGAAGTGCAGCTATCCCCGTCCCCGGTCGATATCTCAGTGGGGGAAATCTATCGCGTCTTTAGATTCGGCATGGCGGACCTCTGTCAGTATGTTCCGATGCCAAAAAAAAGAGAAACTATGTGTTCTCTCGATGGAAGCAATGCCAGAAACAGGGTTCACTCCCGAGGGAAGCGCCTCATCGCGAAAACTTCCCTCCCCGGAGCTACGTGTTTATGTGATTTGGAGGTAAATGTCGAAGAGTCGAGCCATTCTGAACTCGAGATTATATGCGCTCCATGTAGTCACCCTCTCGTTGGGGTTTCGGATACATTCGGATTACTCCCGGAGGGTGGTCACACCGGAGAAATGTTTTTCCGATTATACATGAGCAAGAAAAACTCGATCACCTGATTCCTGATTCTATCCCTAATCGAGTCTCAACCTTATGGGAGGAAACAAAGAATAAATATCAATAATTGATGTTTCGATCCTGCTGACGTCCGTTCTTCCCACACTCTTAGAATCTTTCAGGGGTTCGCCTTCAATGCGACGCGAGGTTCGAACGTCGCATTGCTCAGGTTCAACCCGATAGGTCTCGGCGGAAAATGCGGATAGGTCTTCGGAGGATCCCCCCAACCCGGTCATTGAGCTGGACCGACGTGACTTCAAGTTTCTGTAGATATTGCGCCAGTTCAAGTCATCCGAGGAGCTACGTGCGTAGGGTGTGAAGTCGAGACTGCGAGTGACATCTCGAATCTACCAATGTTTCGATTCAACGATCTGAGAAGCTGGTTCTGACGCCGGATCCGGTCCATCCGTGACTGATGTGTTTTGGAAACCCTTTCGCAAATCGACATGCAGCTTCGGCGGGCCAGCTTTCCCCGTGCTCCGAGTCTTTCTCTTCTTCTATCACTGGAGCTACCACTGTAAGAATAACAATACGGACTGGAGCCACTTGGATCGTCGTCGCCGCCGCCGCCACCACCGATAACTCGCCGAACGGGCCTTGGACGACCTACTGAGTTCGGCAGCATCATGGAATGCTGCTGACTACGTCGCGTCGCTTACTCAGCGCCGTTGACAGCCAACCATTTGACCACGAGCCACCCTCTCCCGATGACAAGTCGAGAGCCTCGTTCGCGCCTCGGCCCATTAGGAGTCGGTGAGTCTCGCGCGAGCGCGCGCTCGCGTCACGTGTGAACTTGACCGCTAATTACGTTCGTGTTGACATCGAATGCTCCACTCTACTGTCAACCCCGCGCGATAGACATCTGGAAGGGACTTCCGTGCTCTCGGCTCTTTTTAGGTAATATTTCCTCGAAAGGCGGTCGAGGAGGAAAATCCGGGAAGTATCGCGACATTTCATTTGCCCACGATTGTTCTCTCGAGGATTCATGGATATGGCGGCGTTCCCGTCTCCCGTTCGATTCTATGAGCCGTCGACTTGAACCTTCCAGTTTTCTCGCGGACGATGGTCTCAGCTCGATACGTCTCCCTTGGGATGGATACCTTATCATGTTTTATATCATGCATGCGCGGGCCCCACTCAGCATCGGCCACATGTCAAGATCCTCCCCGAGCTCTCGCCTCGCTCGTCGGAAACAATAACGACGACTTGAATATCGGTCGATCCGATCGAGCCTAAACGAGTATAGGTTTTCACCGTCTAGTGATGCGGGAATATCCAGAACCGACCGATGCGGGAGTTCGACCTTCGCCCTGATCGTCCCAGAAATGGGAGCGGGTACTCAATCTGGTTTTGCTTCTGGCGAAGATACGTCTCCTTTGGGTCTTTCTGTTTCCATCACAATTCTCTACGTATTACGCGGGTCCAGTCGGCCCCGCGTTTCTCCTGCATTCGAGAGAAACTCTCGTGACCCGGCTTCACGAGAGCCGGTAGGAGGCAGAGCTCTTCGAGATTCCGAATATAGTTGCTTGCAATGAGCTCCGGCTCTTCCACTTCGCAGCTGATTGTGACAAATCGGCTAAGCTCGTTCCAGCTTGAAGTCCCGATGCTCCTCGAGGACCATACGGCTCATCCAGATCGGCTTGTCCGGCGAATCTCCCGTTCGCCTCCCTCAGGTGAAATATTCGATGAGGAGTCGTGTTTCCGAGTCTTTCGATGACCCGGATCAACTCCGGAGATGAGACCGGTCGGCTCGACGCTCGGGCGAACGAAGAAATCGTCGAGGAAGTGAGAAGTGAGGAGTCGTCGCTAAACACCATTCTTGCGGTTTTCGGATGCGTTTCCCGCAGGTGTGAACCGCGGAGTGAGTGACCGACTCCCCGCCGCCTCCGCCTGGCGAAGCGGCCAACACCCGTCTACCACCTTCTCCTTTTGGAGCGTCAAGGCTGACGCGCGGCTAAATATACGGGTGCTCGGACCGGAGTCGGCGGTCAAAAGTGGCGCGCATCGTATTCCGTCTACGGGCTCGTTTGATACGCTCGTTTGACTGTCTGGCTGTCTGACACGGATCCTAGCAAAGCAAGATGGCGGCCCCCATTCCTCTCACCTATTGCCAGACACCAACCTCGACTTCGCGAAGTCTCTCATTCGGAGCTGAAACCCCACGCTGTTGTTCGAATGTTAGAGCGTTGGTCGGCACCAGAACGAGATGATTCGTTTACTTCGCTTGCTTTAGCGTGTGTCCGCAAAAAGCTCCTTGTTATTCCGGTGAGCTCCGTGCCTATCGCGGTCCCTAGTGGTCAGGAGTTCGACTCCGCTGCTGGATAAATTCCCGGACGGGGGTATTCATGTCAATGACGATTTACCACTGCGATCGAAAGGGACCCCATGCCGAAAATCGACCCGTGACATCCCGATTCTCATCTGAGTTTCTCACCAATGACTGCTTCTAACAGTGCTCTCTTGTCCCTTTTTCCTCCTGACAGCTAGCTGTTCCTTGCGGTTGAACGAATGAAATGGCTCCCCGACTGATTGGGACTGTTCTACTCGCAGTCCTGCTTGGTTGTAGCGTCTACGCCGGCAAACGTAAATCTGGACATCCGAACATTGTTGTCATCGTCACCGACGATCAGGACATCGAGCTGGGCTCCATGAACTATATGCCCAAGGTTCGCGAGCACATCGAACGCGAGGGCGCCTTCTTTCCAAATGCCTACGTCACCACACCCATGTGCTGCCCCAGCCGGAGCAGTCTCCTGACAGGTGTCTACGTACACAACCACAACGTCTACACGAACAACAAGAATTGCAGTTCGACCCAATGGCGACGAACTTTCGAACCGAGGACATTCGCAAACGCCCTCGCGAACACCGGCTACAACACAGGGTACTTCGGGAAGTACCTGAACGAGTACAACGGTAACCACGTCCCGCTGGGCTGGAAGGAATGGCTCGGCCTCGTACGAAATTCGAAATTCTACAATTATACCGTCAGCGTGAACGGGAACAAGGTCAAGCACGGCAACGACTACAGTAAGGACTATCTGCCCGATCTCATCACGAATCATTCACTGTCTTTTCTCAGACGATCGAAGCAGTTCTACCCCGATAAACCAGTCCTCATGGTGATGGCCTATCCCGGACCGCACGGTCCCGAGGATTCGGCCCCACAATACCAAAATATGTTCCTGAACGAAACTCAGCATCGGACACCGTCCTGGAACTACGCTCCCAACTACGACAAGCAGTGGATTCTGCAACACACAGGAAAAATGCAGGACATCCACATGAAATTCACGGACATGCTCAACACGAAACGTCTGCAGACCCTGCAGAGCGTCGACGATGCTGTCGATCAGCTGATCACGGAGCTGAAGCGTCTGGACGAAGTGGATAACACGTTTATCTTCTACACATCCGATCACGGCTATCATTTGGGACAGTTTGGCCTGGTCAAAGGCAAGGCGATGCCTTTCGAGTTCGACGTGCGGGTACCATTCTATGTCAGAGGCCCGAAAATCTCACGCGGGATCCAAATACCGGAAATCATCGCGAACATCGATATTGCTCCGACGATGCTCGAGATCGCGCGACTTCCTCCCGATGTATCGATGGACGGCAAGTCTATTCTGCCATTGCTCATGCAAAAAATGGGCCGACGAGTCACGACCTGGCGGGACTCGGTTCTCATTGAGAAAGGCAAGATCACTCGCGAGGCTCTGATCCGGATGGAAAGCGCTTCGGCGGCCGCGGCGAAATGCTCCACCGGGAAATTCCCGTCGCCCTGCAAACCGGGACAGCGTTTCGAGTGCATTTTCGAGGACCAATGGAAACTTGTCAGATGCAACCGACGCTGCCAGTGCAAGAAAAGTCGGAAGTTTGTGATGGACGACGATCTGCGGAGGATTCGGAGCGGACTCCGACGGAGCTCCAAGCCCAGACTCCGACGGAGTGAGTTTTCGCTGCCGCCGCAATACATGGCGTTGACCCGTAATCCCCCGAGTGTGCTGGCCAGCGGTGAAACCTCGGACGCGGAAGACGACTTCGGCTCGGGCCCCGTCAACTCACAGGGCAAAGAGCTGGTGAATTGCGTTCAGTTCGCCAAGAATCAGTCGGTCATCTGTCTCGGTGAGGAGGAGTATCAAGATCCGACGCTGTGGAAAAAGAAGAAACAGGAGGTAGATGGCCTCATAAAGGGGCTTCGCCAAAAGCTCAACCAACTCAAGGGATTACAGACGACCTTACGCCAAAACAGACCTTACGGCGCGTCCAATGGCAGGAGACCTGTCGGCTCCTCGGAACCGGATGACGAGTGCCAGTGTCGGCACAAAGGTCGCAAAATGCGCAAGCAGGAAAAGTTCGCTAACACCGAATGCACCGCCGATCTCGATAAGATGAACTGTTTCACCCACGACAACGATCACTGGAAAACGCCCCCGCTATGGACCGAAGGTCCGTTTTGTTTCTGCCAGAACGCCAACAACAACACGTTCTGGTGCGTTCGGACCATTAACGCCACCCACAATTTCCTCTACTGCGAGTTCATAACCGGCCTCACGAGTTTCTATAATCTCAAAGATGATCCCTACCAGCTCCGGAACGTTGTCAGCAGCCTATCGAGAAAAGAGCTCGACCTTCTAAAGGTCTCGCTGAACCGATTGCGACGGTGCCGAGGTGCGAGGGAATGCACCGTGAGATACCGGGTGCCCAAACCAAATCCCGCGGTACTCGCGAATCTCACGATGTCGATACGCGATAATCTCCTGCGGAGCAATATCAATACTTTCTCTGAAATTACTTAAGGAGCGAAGCGGGTCCAACGAGCGAGGCTCCAAGCTGCTCGGGAGAGTTTCTTATTCGTTTCCTCGGAACGCTGCCGATCTGATCCAACCCTCGGATTCAACTGTGATTAAGGGATTGTAATTTCAAGTATAGAAAACCTCGAGGAAGCCGCTCAGCCGGTCACCTTGCCTTCAAAATGCATTTATGACGCAGCTGGGCCGTTCATATCGAGCGTCGATCGTCGATCTGTACATATTAGCGGATGTCTCAAATCCGAATTATCAGACTGACAGCTCGAGACGACCTTGTCTCTTGTCTTCTTGTACAATGCATGTAGCGCCCGAAGGAATGTGTCGAAATGATACGATGATAGATATATATATATACACACTCAATTTCGACCCGGGGAGGAGGAAATAATTTTCAATTCGCCTCAGGACTACTGTACTTCCTCCGTGTAATAGTTCGGCTCCGAATTTTCTGTTGAATTACGCTTAGATCATCATCATGAAGGAGCTTGACCGACTTCGGCCTAATGCTTTTATGAAGATGATGAGTTTCAGGTTTGATCACCGATCAAACTCTAGCCAGATGAGCACTCGCCTGCGGAGAATGATGCCATGGATCTTTCAGAATAGTGGGACCTAGAGAATAAAAAATTCCCTGTCGACTCGATGCTGTCATGACTTTAGATAGAGGCACTGGGAGAATTGATTCATCGCTCATGACAACTTGACGAGGGGTACCCCGAAATTTCTTTCTCCTACTCCGATGAAATTGGGAAAATCAGCCAGAATTTCGACTAGCTTCGTTAGAGCTGTACCCTGCGGGAAAAAACTTTCGAGGCCCGAGCACCTGCTGGCAATCAGGATCCCGTGCACCGCATGAAGACGCACGCTATTCAGGCTCTCTTCGGTGCATGCCGTGATGGGTACAAATATATCGCTGCCATGAGACCTCTTGAGGCATGGCGTGCTTGAAGGTCGACCATTTAACGAACAAGTCGCCGTCACGGGTGCATCTGTTCTAAAATTGGGTCACTCCTCATCAGTCGAAAAGCTCTGATTCGACGAAAAACTTCGGGGCCGGTAAAAAGTCGACCCAGAAACGATTTATCCCACAAGAATGAAGATGAGAATATTCGCTAGGTTATGGAGTCCCCTGGAATAATCCTCTTCGTTGGGGAGGAGAGACATGGCAAGCATTAGGAGGACGGCAAACCCAAAGTTCCAAGTCGGGCGTATTTCTCAGGAACTGCATGCCACGTCGAGCTGATGCAATTCTGCCTATTGCCGGACTCCCCGGGGGATGAAGCAGCTTCACGGCGTTCTTTCTCACCCCACAAACCCCATCATTTCAGAAACTTCCGTTCTGAGCATCACCTCCATATCCGAAATTCGAAAAACCACCTGGATTGCGAATCGCGAGCTTTCTCGAATGTAAACAATTAATGACAACGAACTATGTCTAGTTCTTCTTCCCAGAGAGACGGTACGACATGGTGGTCGAGCTTGTACAAGCATGTGTTTGGCATGCCAAAGAGTCGAGAAGTTTTAACTTCCAGTCAAGACACCCTGGTTCGCCTGGAGTCTCAGACGCCCGTTCCTTCAGCCCTGAAAGCGAAAGACACAAAATCTAGAGCGAGTCCGCGCAACCGGATCCAGCTGACCGATGAAGAGTGGATTGAAGTCATTTCGCCTCCCGTTCCCGCCAGACGAGTATCGAAACCGTCGCGGAGGGAGATGGCCGATTTGAGACGACTGGCCGAACGTGCTCGAATCTACAGAGAAGTTTATAAGGAGCCCATGCCTGAGAGGTACGAGAACGCTTCACCCCCGGAGCTCACTTCAAGGCTAAACAAGGACGAAGAGGATCGTAAGAGGAGAAAAGATCTCACTCGTCAGCTCAACAAGATGCTCGGTCGCGTTCGCATGACGGACGAAGAAGAAAGACGAGGCGAGGCTCCGAAGAAGGGAGCTGCTCTCGGCAGTCTCAAACTCACAGCGTCGTCGTCAGAAGACGCGGTATCTCTCGGAGTCGCCAAACAGAAGAAAATCCTTCAATTGATCTCCACGGTCCAATCGGGAGGGAGCGAAGACCTGGAGAACGTGGAGAAAGAAATCAAGCTGATGGCCGAGGAGTCCGGCAAGTCTAAGGCGAAGGCGACAGTACCCTCCGAATCATCGGAATCGGTCCCCTTGAGCGCGAGGAATAGTTTGAGCGTCTCGACCGCGACCCCCACTGTGCCTTTGCGACATAAGCTCACCTCATCGAGCTCGATAAAATAGAATTGGAATAATAAATGGTTTTTCATGGATCATGACGCATCATTCGATACATCCATGGAGAGAAAAGGAAACTGGGGGAGATATCCGAATTCTCAGCGAACTCCATCTTTGGAGGATCCGGGGGGCGACGGTTTGGGGAGATCGAGATAATCAATCGAGGCGCTCCATTTGGAAGACCGGAGCGTTACTAGGCAACCAGCGCAGGCTACCGCGTGTTTGGGTAGAGCTCAGAGACAAGGGTGACGTTTCCATAGAGACTCAGTCATCTCTGTAGAATTCAATGGAAAGATGGCTGCGGAAGTTCTCGCTGACCTGGGACTCTACGCCGACGAGGAGACATCGCAGCTGAGGCTGCTAGATCCCCACAATGACCACTCGACGACACTGCGAGACCATTGCAAGAAGTTCCTCACCCAAATGGAGAACTTTAACGAGATCAGTGACAAGTTCCTCAAAATTAGCGATGAGCTCAGTGAACAGGTCGATCGGGAGCGGATGAGAGCGATGGGGAGTCGGAATCGACTCCTAATGGTGGATCATGAGAAAGAACGGCGTAGACTGCAGATGGACCAGCTGCTGCTTGAAAGGCGAGTTCAGCTTGAGAGACTGAGAGCTCAAGCGAACAGTCTACGCGCAGCTAAGGAAGACATTCAGCAGATGTTGAATCGAGCCCGAGGTTGAAAAGCCCTCAGTTTCGAAGCCCGCACCGTCGATTCCGGATCTGAGGATACGGCCGTGTTCAGTTCGGGAGTCGCCCCGGAAGAGTTGCGCCATCGAACCCGCCTACTCGGCGCACTCGCTTCGTTGGTTACTTTTTCACGTCTGACTGTGACTCGTTTCATCCACCGAGTCACTTGTTCAGCCGAGAGCGCCGAGCTCCGATGCTAGCCGGCTCGAAGGACTTCATTGTTTAGACGAAAACCACATTTTTTCGCAATGCCTCGAGGCTTGCAACGCAGCTGCGGGGACTTGGACGAGAAATCGTTCCTCTGACCGGGCTAGAGAGCTTATCGTCACGGATCCATCTCACGTCATGGAATATGCAGAATGGTCTCGATGATGTACAAACACGACGAATAAATGTCATTGTTCTGAGAAATCAGTCATTTCATCGACCCCGTATGTTGTACAAATGTATGTTTATGTTGCATGAAATTCGATTCAATCTGCCATGGTTGTGTACCTTGAGGGTTTCAGGCGAAAAAATCTTAGGCCGAGGGGGATTCCCGATGTCACACGTCTGAGACATGCCTCGAAACACCCTTCCTAGATACGGAACGCGAAGGTTCCGCCACCCGTAGCACGCATTTAGGATGAACGCTCTCCTTTCGATCGTAGACCAGGGATGTCAAATCGCGGGTCCACGGGCCAAACTGGCCCGCCGGGCTCCTAATTTTGGCCCGCGGAGCTCTCCAAATCGTTAACAGACGTCAGAGATCCGTCTCGCTCGTTCGAGCAGAGAGGATTTGGAGCGACTTATCGTGGGAAATGCAGAGGAGAGGGTACTCCCGCGTCTCAATGACTACGTATCAGCTTCACACAGGGCACATATATGTAGATGTTTTTGAATGATGGATGAGAGCCGACCCCGCGAGCGTCCGAGGTCGGCCCGCCGGGGGTTTGAGCTTGACACCCCTGTCGTAGACTGTCTACTCCACACGCAGTGCTAGAAGCTCAGTGATGCGGCTCAGTTCCACAAATATCACTTACAGGATCCCACCGACGGGAAGTCACTTTATCGCGGTCTGGGATCTGCAAGAGGGGGGAAGGCGTGGAAGGGGGGGTTAACAAGCCATTCAATAAATTTTTGGAGCAATGGATTCCGGATTCTCGTTCGTAATGACGCTCATGGCGGTGGGGATCAGTATGAGCCGGGTTTGAACGAACTCAATCATGATCCAAACTCGAAAACTGGAAGTCATCAGTAAACAATGATCGACCTCGAACTGAGAGTTATCCGCTGTAAAGCCGAAGGTCGCTCCCTCCGTCGGCGGGAAAACTTAGATTGAATGATTACATTAGAGACAACGTCAGATTGGATTATCCAATGCAAATCGGACGAGGATGCGAAATGCGAGAAGTTTGCCTGGGAAACGCATTGGGACGAGTCGCGGCGCAAACATCTACCTGCAGCGCAGCTCAACATCCAGGAAATACCCTCGGAATCTTCCCCTGGGACATTGCGGCTGATTTCCGAGTGAGTTGAGGCTCGAAGTGACGTGCCACTCGAACGCGCACTCGAGGAGCTTAGAATTCCTGAGAGAGCTCGACTACAAGACATTATTCAGAATCGCCAATGAGTTCACCTGTAAGCTTCCAAGCTCCCCATTGCGGTACATTTGGGCAGCAGTGGACACCCAAACACCAAACAAGGGAGCCATGATGGGGAAGGAGCTGAGCAACATTAAAAGAAGTTCTCTCGGAGGTTCTGATACCCGTTAGTATCCTGCTGGGATCCTCATACCAGAGCGACAACCAGAAGGGCGGGAAATCGAAGCAAGCATGCTCTGTCATGGGTTCCGTAGAGCGATGCGCGACTTCCATGCGCCGGATTCCGCGATTCATAGAATACTCATGGAGCACATTTCAATTGATATTCACGGAGCGACATCGACAGTCAGGGCCGTCAGCAACCAGTGACGGGTACACAGTCTGCTCCCCATACGACGAATTCGGACAATGTTGACTGTAGGCTCGGAAATCTGTCCGTCTTGAGAGTCTCGCAGCATAGACTTTGAGCGGGATCTCTGACGGCCCTCCGAGATAGGAAAAAGGATTCTGGCGGCGCTTCTCATCCGTTTCAGAACGCAGAGCAAGTCTGAGCTATCGACGACGTCACATTTGAGCAAGTGGAGTTTCCTGTTCAGAAAACAAGTGGGTCGCGGCGCTCCCAGAGTATGTACACGGAGTGAGGCAGGCACCATCGCTTCGCGCTTGAATTGTGTTCCTTGATTCTCGGTGCAAGTGTTCGCTAGCGGCTAAGTGTCAGAACGACAGTCTGAGTGACGGTCTTCGAGTCCATCGGTCGGTCTGTCGGTGTTTATTCCTCCGTTAGCCAGCGTGGGTCGGTAAGGGCTGCTCTCGCGGCTGCCGTCGGCATTGTCGTTGCCGCCAGAGGCCCGCACGAACGCCAACTGGCGCCTGACATGTGACCAATGATGATGGCAAAGCTGACGACTTCCATAATGCATTGCATAGCCATCCCCAGCCAGGGAGCCAGCAATTTACACGCTGGTCCTGGCAGCCTGCGGAATTGAAACGTTCACCTAACTGGCAGTGGTTAGGCAGTCTGTCGGGGAAACGAGGATTTTCTCGGATCATCATCAATGTTGTCAACCTCAACCCGGGACCCTATCGTCGGAGTTTTCCACCACAAGAGTCGCCACGAAACTTTTACCCATGAGAATGCTCCGCGAGGGATGTGGATCGGTTTTGAACGTCGAAGGATGGTGGTCTTCAGCTGAGGAGCTCCCCGAAGATCGTTATCAGCCTTAGCCTGGGGTGTTTTCTAGGACTGCGGGTGTGAACGCCATGCAGCGGGGTCGATGTCGGCGCTCAGCAAGAAAGTATCATGCTAACAGTGCTGAAAGTAGTTGAAGTACTCCTCTGTTCACAAGAACGAGTGCCGGACTCTCGTGCTGCAGAGTCGTTGAGCGGTCGACACGTGAGTAGCATGAACGACTTCGGAAATCGCGTCGCCGCAGACGACGACAAGTACCCTCAGCACAAGAACCATCATCGACACCATCGTCCACATCTCGGCTGCACTGCTTGTCTAGAGAAGGAGCCTTTGACCATCAAAGCGGCGAAGGACGTTTCTTTCGGACTCGATGACGATATCGCGTCCCGTGTGGATCATCCGCTGTGTAGCGAGATCGAGGAAGACCCTCGGAGTCCCGACGGTGCTTCCAGCGAAAATGGGAGAGCGGTCCGCGCGAAAAGCCGCTGCAGCAGCACAGCCGCCAAGCTACGCTCTTGGATTTCCGTGGTTGGAGATATCAATGAATTGTCGAGTGAGCCTGAGAGAGGCATAAGTGGGATCCCTCACAAGGACCATCGGCAGTCACCGACGACAACTGCGGGGAAGCGACGGGAAAGAAACCGCAGCGTCCCCACCGATGGGTGCACAATGACTGATCTCGGAACCGCGCTGGCCAAACCGCGTAGGTTTTCTGACGGTGCAAGGATCATCCGCCGGTTTCTAGTCACTCCCGTCGACGATACTCAAGACGTCCACGACGACCGAGATTCGTTCACCTCGACGATGCCACCACAACCTCCTCTACCGAGAACCTCTCCGCCTCCAGAGATGACTTCGATGAGTGCACCGGTGCTCGTCGTTGGTGGGAGCCGAGAAGATATCAGTCCATGCGTGCGACCCAGCATTTTGAAGAAATCTCATCTGCCCGATACTACTCCGAAGTCCATCCTCCGGAACGGTACCTCTACTTTGCACAATCATGGCGCAGGCGAAAGGCAGAACGCTGCTCGCCACGCACCGCATAACTTCGCTGTATTCGGCAGCTTGAGCGAGGCGCCCACTGGAAGCAAAAGCTGTACCGATGTGACACCGAACGACGACAATGACAACAGCGAGGACATCGCAATGGAGGGAACGGATAGCACCGGCAGTTGCGACTCAGAAGACGGTTTTCGGGATAGACTCCGAAGCAACGTCGACCACGAGCTGGTTCGAGGTCCAGAAGATCGTCTACCAGGGACATTGCGCAGCGGTGAAATCATTACGGCGGCGAGCACTAATGTCGTCGTGACTGTTGATGAGTGGTTAGGTGACCGAGGGGTGGACTTTGACCCCGTGGAATCCCCTACGCACAGACAGCTCAGAAGGTCTATCTCGGAAGCGTCGGGTCTGCGGCAGAAGAAAGTCTCCTTCGATCTGGAACACGTTGACGTATTCCAATTGGAACCGGAGCTGATTTCCGACGAACAAAGCACTTATTTAAACGAGCGCTTCCGCCAGTTTCTCGATGATTCGGTCGCTCGTGCCAACCAGGGAGGATTTCCTCGAGAAGGATCAACTAATGCTACGAGTTTAGAGCCGAATCGTGATGACGATGCGATAGTCGACGACGACAGCGTTGAAGACGAGGACGGTATCGAGCTCATTAAGAAAACGTTAAGCGACGACGATAAAACGTGGCTGAAAACGTGAGTTGAAACGGAGATCCGTCAGGACGTGATCAGGTGATTGAGTGCTGGTATTGATTACAGCCAAGTGATGAACAGTGACGGGTACATTTGTGACGGTTGTGTTTGCTCGGGTTTTCGACTGATTCTGCACGTGGAACGGATAAATGCATATAAAGTACAAGCGTTGGAGAGAACATTAATTACGAGGTGCATTCTTTTCCTTCGGTTCCGGGCGTCTGGTTGAGGGATTAACCCGAAGGGGCATTTGGTTTTAAGGTGGAATTCCACGGCATGTGAAAACGCAGGTTTTCCCTCTCGATTCCCGAGGGAGCCCTCGTACTTTCGAGTTGAGATGAGTGATCACTAGCGTAGTGATATGTAGATTCGGAACTCCGCAATTCTCTCCTATCATAGAATCCCATGGGCAGTCACTAATCTGTAATTCGCGGATATCCCGTGGAGAGTACCTTCGATTGCTTGCTAGTTACGTCTTGCATACATTTACCCTACGGTGAGTTGCGAGACTTGAT